GGCGGTTTTCATTAAAACGGCCAGCTGCCTCTTTGTGTAGATTGGCTGTTTAAAGCTGTAGCTCTGAAGTCTGAGCCTCAGTTTTGACGCTCTGTAGACCTTTAGCAAAGAAGTTCCATTCAGATGGTGAGGGAGCAGGTCTCTACCAAATCACACAGCTGGTCTGCTTGGGCTAGCAGGAGAGCAGAAAGCAGACAAATGGATGGCAGGGACAATGTGTATGTGTGGGAGGGGGCATGAACAGGAGGAGAGGAAGACTCACAAAAATCTTATCTCAAGGTGAATACACTAAAAAAAAAATGAATGGGCAATTTCACCTAACTTAAACCAGTTGCCTTCTGCACCCTTTCAATGATCACCTCCTAAGAAAACTCTCTGTGCTTTTCTGCTTCTTCATGATTTCTACATAAAGGAGAAAAATTGAGATCTATCAAATGAATGCTACCTCACCTCTGTTTGAATACATAGGACCTTCCAGCTCAATGTATGAAAGTGGTTAGGTGAGTTTTATGCCAACTCCTCATATACATGAATATCGTCTGTCGCATGATGTGAGTTTGTTCACTAGACGAACAAGTTAACAAAATAGAGTGCAAGTTATCAGGTTTACTCAGGGAAAGATGTAGGGCATTAGAATCACGGTGGCTGCCCGGGATCCAAGCCCAACTCACAGTCTCAAAGAGCATGGAAGTATTCGGGGTGAATACTGGCCTCTCCCGTGTTGCTGGAAAAGCTTGGATCCTGCACCTCTTCTTCAGACCAGTACAACCAGGTTACTGAGTGGATCCCTTCCTCTAGTCCTAACAGAAAATAGGGTGATGCCCAGGCTAGGGCTTCTTCAGTATGTGTCCTGCCTGTCCTGTCATAAAGGAGCCTAGGTAGCTGGGTGGCCCCCACGCACTGCATTGCCTGTTCAGCCATTGTCCCTAGCAAGTGATCTGGAGGAGCTGTGCAGGAGGGAAGCAGAAAGCAAGACACCTTGTCAGTTCAAAGCATTTTAAGGTTGTTTGAAATCCTCTCCACGTCAGCGTAAGCGGCCTCTGTATGTGAACAGCTGCTTGCTTTGAACCCTGAAAAGAAATGAGCTGAATCAAAACCTGCAAGTTGTCTGCCCGAGACACCTTCAACGTGCTTTTTTTTTTTTTTCATACCAGCCGAGAAAGGCAGGAACACATGCGGACTCTGCCCTGGCGTGGTCAGCGAGAAGAACAGCGCCACTGAAAGTATGGAGAAGGCCCGGTCTAAAAACCTTCCAGAGCTAAGATTCTGGGTGTCGCGACGAGGCGCCGCGCCGCGAGGGAAAGCGGGAAGTCGGGGCTGCTCTGGAGCCGCTGTTCGCGCCAGCCGGGCCCCAGCTCCGGGCTGGGGAGGCGGCTGCGACTGCGGGTGGAGTGGGAGAGCGCCAGTCCTCGCGCAGCCTCGCCTGCCCTGCGATTGGCCTGCTCCGGGGTGGGCAGCGCGATCCAGACGCTGCGGCCAGTGAGTAAGGCATTGTTTTGTCATCTCCCGGGATTTCGTGGGTATATTATACCCAATAGCACTACCCCGGTAGGGAATGTTTCGGCTCGCCTGCCAAATGAGGCGGTGCTGAGGTTGGGGGGTGGAGGGGTGGAGGGGAGACTTGGGACCTCAAAGTAGAAAGGGTTCCCGAATCGCCACAGAAGTCCCATCGCAAACAGGAAGTTTTGATGTACACGTGCAGGCTATACTTGCCTTTCCCCCCC